AGAGTTATTTTATACAAAAAATACAGGAAATCCAGTCTCAACGCTAAGCCTATTATTCAAGGGTAAATAGAGTTATTTTATACAAAAAATACAGGAAATCCAGTCTCAACGCTAAGCCTATTATTCAAGGGTAAATAGAGAGAATTTATACAAAAAATACAGGAAATCCAGTCTCAACGTTAAGCCTATTATTCAAAGGTAAATAGAGAGAATTTACAATCTCTGCTTTCGAGCCTTAATTTCTGCAAATTGATCAATGACGTCATCAAAATTCACCTTCTTTGCATATTCATGTTCAATTGAAATTAAAACCAGATTTGTTAATTTTGTCTGACTCGTGGTCGAGCGAAAGAAATTGTTTTCAATTTAAATTTTGAAAACTTCTTTCACATGAAGCAATAGATACACAGACAGTCAAAAAGAATGTCAAGCACAGTGGACAAGCTTGGCAGAGATTCACAAAAATCACATTTCACAATAAACACCAGAAACTCTAATGCTGTCCGTTTCAACGCTGATTTTGCCAGCTTCCAAATGTCTCCGAAGTCGTCCAATTTCCACACTGATTTCTTCGAAAATCTGTGTCAAATGTGGAATATATTTCCGAAGTTCTTCTTCTGTTGCAACAACCAAAGTGTTTGGCTGAATAACAGCGAAAATTGACAGAATTTGATCTATTGGCTAAGAACGAATCTCCAATTCTTGATTAAAGCGATCAAGACATTTAAACATAGCCCTTTTTACTTCCTCTGGCAATGTGAGACCAGTATCTTTTGCCATCTCTTCTGACATCCTTTTTCGGAGCTTTATATCCCTCTTATCTCCATAGAAATGTCCATTTCCTCACACTTTGTTGTTGCATCATGAATGGCCCTCTCCATAATCCATTGCGCTGATCTTCAAGAAACAGTTTTTGAGCTGGATCTTCACAGTGCACTTTTCAAGGTTGATTCCAAATCTTTGCAAATACTTTTGTGTGAGATTAATTTCTTCCAGGACTTCACACTAGAAAGAAAGGTAACTCAAAAAAGAGAAATCACATAAACAGCAGACAGCAAAATCTGAGCTAATCTTCATGTGTCCACATTTTCTTTGGAATTGCACAGTACTTCAATGGTTGAGGTCAACCTTTCAAAATTTGCCGTCACTTGGTTCACAGCGTTCATAACGAGCACTCCATCTTGTCTGGGAAATGCATTTACACATAAGTAAACATCACATATCACATTGTCAAAAATTACTGAACACTCGTATAAGTACCACGATATTGTTATAAACCCCAGCACTTTATGCTTTGTCATAATTACTTAATGAAACGTACCTCATGTACGTAGAGTCAGAGAGTCATGTACACTAGACTTGGAATGTCAGTTGCACCCGGCTGGCTATGCTCAACAAACTGATGACTAAAAGGTCAACAAACGTTCGCCTTTCGATGTAATTTTTATCAAATACTTAATTTTTCTTTTGTAAATTTTGTATTGCCAATAAAAAATAAACCTTTATTTTATAATGGAAAATAACATTAAAAATAGTTGTAATAGTTTGAACATTTTTATTGTTTTTTTTTCTTCCTTTGGCGAATTTTTCATTTGGTTTGAAAACTTGTACCGATATTTCAACTTTCTTGATGCCCCCCTTTCTGGTTGTCACCGGGGCGGCCCGCCCCTCGCACCCTCCTTAATACGCTACTGAGTTTAGTTCTTTTATGAGTATATCAGCCTTTGATCATCAAACATTAATTTTCAATAACAAGACTCTCAAAGGTTATCTTGGCTACATTAATATCTGTAGTCTGAGCCCATGAGTGTCGAGTCTTCGGAAATTCTTCGGCTTTTGTTGGAATCATATTTTCCGTTAATTTTCTGCTAATGTATAGTTTTTCAGACTCGCACAATACACTACAGAATCTTGCTAACAACTATATTTTTTTACTGTCTTTTTCCTTATCTTATTGGATAATATTATCTTAAGCGTTGCTTTCCTAATCAAATTCCAAACTAAAATATTGTCAAATCCTGGAATAAACGTTTATTTTGAAGGTTTTACCACATTATATACCAAAGTGTTTTCTTTATTATTATCAATAAATTGCTTGGATTGTTTTTAATCTTTTACAAACACTTCAAACACATATTCTGGCTCCTAAACATGTGAGAAACCGCCAAATTCATGTTTTATTTACTTTTTACTCTTGCTATTATTATTTCTCTTGAACGTATTGCCATGTTCATAGTTTATATTGGTAACTATTCTTTTTCTTCTGCTATTGTAGTGTTGTTGTCAGTCGATGAAGCATTCGACGGATTTCTTTGAAAAGTTTTTACATCTACAAAAATTGTCTAGTACAATGAGATCGGCTTACATATATGTGTGTTGTTTTTGTATGTATGTATTTATAAGTTAATAAAATCATTTTTACTTCGTATTAGAAAGTTTACGCTACTCATGCTTAAGTGCATTACGTAAAAACAACACAGCAGTATATTGTAACGCCTCCTATCGGTGGACTGGTTCTTTTAAATCTTTCTGTGGAATTAAAGCAAACTCTAGTGCATTTAATGAAAATGGAAGGGTTTTATTTATTTTGTCACTAGTTTTTCAAGCTCTCCAAGCGATAGGCCTAATTTTTTCAGTAAATTTGGCCAGTCACTTGTTAACTCCTACCCTATCTCTAGTACTTCATTGGAAAACAAACTCAAAATTAACAAAAGTAAAGTAACAGACAAACTGACAACTACACTCGCTAACTCAAATCAAACTGAAAGTTGCACTCTCTAACTCAATAATCAAAACAAAAAATAATTATCCTCTAGGTTAACTGGCGTTTTTGTTTGTTTGTTTGTAAATTAAGCACAAAGCTACACAATGGGCTATCTGTGCTCTGCCCACCACGGGTATCGAAAACCGGGTTCTAGCGTTGTAAGTCCGCAGATATACCGCTGGTCCACTGGGGGGCAGCGTTTTTGTATAGTTCAGATAATTTTCCAAACTTGAAAGAAAATTTAAGTTGTCACGAGTGCATCACGCCACCCTAAAACTCCCTCTAGTGAACAATACATATGAATAAATTATAATATCAAAAACATGGCCTACAAAACTGTTTTAACTAGGTAACATGGAAGCAGTCGTAATGAAATATTTTTGGCAATAACGGGTTAACAAAGTATTGAGAATTGTTCAATATCTACTATCAAGAGTTTCACTAATTTATCCAACTGGAATGTTGTAACTTTGTGTGCCTGAATACGTAAAATGTAGGGATATAAGATTTTGGAACAAATTATAAAATATTTGTAAAACATGAGGTAGTATCATTATGTTTAATGATATAACAAAGATATAAATTTATTTTAATTTAATACATACACATTTATGTTATTTGTATTTCTTGTTCATTGACATGTTATGATATTTTTATTATTATGTTTAATGATATAACAAAGATATAATTTGATTTTAATTTAATACATACACATTTATGTCATTTGTATTTCTTGTTCATTGACATGTTATGATATTTTTATTATTATGTTTAATGATATGACAAATATATAATTTGATTTTAATTTAATACATACACATTTATGTCATTTGTATTTCTTGTTCATTGACATGTTATGATATTTTTAGTATTATGTTTAATGTTATGACAAATATATAATTTGATTCTAACTTAATACACACACATTTATGTCATTTGTATTTCTTGTTTATTGACATATTACAATTCGTTTATATTACGGCCGTAGTAAGTCTTCACAACGATCCAGACTACCACAGATTTATTCTTGGCTATGAGGAATTGAACCAGAGAGTTGTCGTGTTAGAAAAGGTAAGATTTTAGAAAATTCAGGTATTTATGAATGTTTTAGAACTAATAGTATGGCTATTTTAGAACTAATAGTACGGCTATCTTAGAACTAATAGTACGGCTATCTTAGAACTAATAGTACGGCTATCTAAGTATTACTTCATTAATGCGAGAGATTGTGTTAGCATTGTTCGGTAGTGAGTTGTAATCCACCCACGAATTAAAGAGTGTTATATATATATACATATAATAAATGGGTAAAGCGTGATCAAATGATTAGCATACCGACCTATGAATCTGTGTGATCATATTTCGCATCCCGTTACAGAAAAACAAAATCAGTATTTCGGGGCCCTTGGTGTATTATAAGGATGATGGTCAAATTCAACTATTCGATCCAACAAAAGCATTCCAAGAGTTTTCGGTGGATTCTGGTTACTAGTTGCCTTTCTTTTCGTCTGTCACTTCAAAACTAGGGGCTGCTGGGGCAGATAGCCTATAGCTCTTGAGTAGCTTTGTGCGAATTTAATTATAAAGAATTTTGACCCAAGTTATAAAACATGCCTGTTAATATGTCAGTCAGTGGTGTCCTCACGCAGAAATATTGCTATTATAATGTGTTAACAGTTAATGGTTTAATTTAAATTTCGTAAAGAAATACAATTTATAACGTATCTTTACAAACGAGCCGGGCTGCTGATAGAGGAGTCCAAGGTACGGGCGCGTTATATAAAGTCATACTTACTTTCGTTATTCGGTTCAAAGAACTGAATAAAACTCGTGTTTTATGGCTGCTAATGGCTGGTCAGTAGCTCAAAATTAGTAACGGACATACCTGAACTCCACAGGTCTATTGACTTGACCGTTTAGCCCACGCGCATAAGATGCTTTTAAGGTTCAAAACTATATTCCATTTTCAATTTCTGAAAGAACATGGAAATTATCTAGTTCTAGTATTAAGTTTTTAAGAAACCAACTACAACATTTTTTGTGTTACAGATAATTGTTTATGATAGTTTTGTCATGGGAAGACAAAAGTTAAAATGATGTTTGTACGATGCACAAACAATTTATACGCTTTTTCCAAATGCTCATCTTATCAACTGTCTGTGAAGTGTTTAATATTATTAAAAGATACTTTTCTAATTGCTTTTATTAGTAAATTCTTTCAATTTATGAACTGCATCCCAGACTCAATACCAAACACAAATTGAGTAGTAATATATACCCTATAAAACATTCGTGATGTATTAGTTTTATATGATCTTCAAGTTATAGTAGTATCTCAGTAAAATACCAAATGTACTCTCTCTCCTGGTTATCAATAGTAGGACGTAACGTGTAGACTGAAAAAAAAAGAGCCCTCAATAAGTAAGTGCCCATTCCTCAGTGGCTCAACGGTAAATTTGAAGACTTCTATCGTTTAAAAACCTGGTTTCGATACCCGTGGTTAGCACAACACAGATAGTCATTGTGTAGTTTTGCGCTTAGCAACAAACAAACAATAAGTAAACTTCAACAAAAGTAAGCCGAAATAAGAATTTTAAAATTACCTTTCTTAATCAAAGAAATATATATTCAGTATGCGCATGTGCAAAGAATCGCAAACAATAATAATAGTGAAAAAGAATCTCTATTTAACGCATTATGTGATTAGAGTAGACTTATGTGGTGCCACTAATTAATAATTTATATGCATAATTTAATTAAGTCACACCACAAGTTTGAAACTGTGCAGTATCCGTGAAGAAGAAAATAATTGTTTTTTACGTTTTGTATTAAAAGCTTTAAATGAATAATGGAAAACATACAGAAGAAAAGTCTAGATTAGTGATGAAATTAAATACATTATCAATGTCATTATAATTACAAAAACGCTGAAACCTAGGGAAAGTCATATACATTTTTATATGTAAATTTATGCAAGCGAAATTGATCAGTTATATAAAAACAATACGGTAAGGAGGACACATTGTTGAAGAAGTGTTATAAAAAAGTGAAAACATTTTTATCACGGCTCATATTAATAATTCAGCAAGAAAATATGTATTCACTAAACAGATGGATGAAAATACGGTTTACATGATTGTATTCAACTGATTGATCAATGGGCTATCGGTGATAT